CCAGGAGTCAAGTGTGCATGGGGTAGGAGATCCTTTCCAGTGTTCAAAGCAGCTCCTGGTCCTTGGTCTTTCCGCTGTTAGCTATTTTAGGTGGGAAGACATCTGTGCAAGGACCTTTTAGAGCTATGTGAGCAATGCTTATCGAAGATGCCCTTATTTTGCACTGTTTGATTTTGCAGTTTTGGCTGGTTTTCTGTTGAACACCCTCCTAAGGTAAATGGAGCAAATCAAAGTGAATATTCCTGACAAATTAATGAGCACATTAGCAGCTCTGAAAATGAAATGCTTAGACATCACATGAATTCATTTCACAGTGTTTATATATTTATGGAAATGTCTTTGAATTATACTCCCAGCTCTAGCAGAGACGATTTCTTCTTCCATTATAAAGCAGGTTATGTGGTGATAACTTCTAGACCCCTATGAGCTACTGGAGCATGTAATTATCTTGTTCCACTTATTAATGTTGAAAGGTCTATGCAAGTCCCCGAGTAGCTGTATGTACTATGCTCAGTAGTTTAAAGAGGCTGAATAAATTTAATTTAGTTTAAAATTTAGTTGCTGACTTTAAATAATCTTCAATATGGAATATAAATGTTTTGGGGCATTTAAAACTTTTCAAAATTATAAATGTAGTACTGTAAATCTAAACTTAAACATTAAACATTGTGGTGTTAACATGTGAAACTAAGTGGACTGTAAGCAAAAGATACTGACCAGGCTCTACTCTGAAATGCATATTGCAAACAAACATCAAGCTAATACAAATCAGGACTTAGGCTTTTAATTTTGAAGTAATATTATTGGTAATGGAAGATATGTTAAAAATGAGTTTCATCTTGACATCCTTGGAAGGTGGCCAATTCATATACTTCTGGGCTAGAGATCTGCAAACCTCTGTTCCCCAACCTTCCTAAAATGGCATCGCTCATTTTATGATGTCTCCTAGCTATAATCCTGCTTCTCCAGTCTGCCATAATAATGCTAATTAGTTCTGTATGTAAATAAACTATTGTTGACAGGACACTTTCAGTAATTCACATATGACTCATGGAGAGAGAGGGAGGTTTTAAAAATGATTTATCCATAAACAGAGATTCCATATGTCCTAATCTGGCATGGATTTCTCTCCTTCTCTTTATAGCAAGGAATGTGTGTATGCCTGTATAGAAGGGCTATAATGTGACAATTTGTCTTGAAGTGAAACTAGGATTTATGGCACTTGCTGGAGACCACAGAGGTAAAATGAGCAGCAAGCTGCATTTAATCATCTGAATTTTCAAATATTTCTTTTGCTTGGGTAAATGTGTCTTTGTTCCTTTTTGGAAGCATGTTCAGCTGCAGGATCGGTTCCTGTAAAAGTTATCTGAAAACACTGCAGGCATACTTCTTTATAATGAAGTGCACACAGGGGGTAGGATAGGAAGCATGGATAGGGGACATTTCTGAAGGAAAATATTTGGGCCCAAAATTTGCTAGTTGAGTGTGCTTCTGGCAAGACTGCCACTATTAACACATCCTTGCAGAATATACACTTATTAGGTGTCCAATGCACCTTTCTGGAAATTGGGACATATTGCACTAATTCCAGATAAATGTCATAGGAAATCCAGGCAGAGGAGAAAGAGGCATTGTGAACAGCTAAATGCTATTCATGTCTCCTATAGGGCCTGATCCTGTGGCCTTTAGTGTTGTGATAATATTCCATCCTTGAGAGGAGTTGTGCTGATAGAAGTGTACTTGTAAGGGGCAAATGTACCCTCTCCTTTGTTTGAAAACCTCCCTGGGAATGAAGCTGATGTTGAAGTACCTTGTATCTGGGCTCTTTGTTTTTTCCTTTGTAGTCTGGACTGCAGTGTATATCCTTCTGGTGATGCCTTCTGTTCTCCCTGTCTTTTCCTTTTGTCTCTTGCTTTCTCTTCAATTATTTTTGGTTTTAGCACAGGGTCACTCATGTTACTACAAGTAATTTTTGTAACTTGGTGATTCTACTCTTCTTTTAAATCAAACCTAGGGTTCTCATAACCACAAGAGTCAGGACATGGAGTTTTGGTTAAAACAACCAGAAATCACGGGCCTAGAAAATGGCAGCATGGATTACCTGAACACATAGAAAAGGCAGATTAAGAGCCCACAGACCAGTGGCAGGCGGTGTTTGCTTTCATAATTTGAACAAGGCAATGTTGTACGTGTTAGCCATAAAATGGGATGAAACAAAGCGGTACTGGCAGTGACTTGTGATGACAGAACAAGAGGAAACAAAAAGCTGAATTTTGTGTATGTGGGGGCAAAGCTGGCACCTGTGGAGAAGAATGCCGGCTGCTTATTCATGGCAAGGATGCCAGCTTTCCTGTCAGTGGAACTGGAGCCCATTTTCTTCCTTCAAAAAAAGGAAGCTTTCTAGGGGTGGCAGCAGTGTAGTCAGGACGGCTAGTTACAGCCTTTGGGCTGCGAGTCCTGGTGAGGCTGCCAACGAAGTGCCAGTGTGGAGGAGATTTGTCTGCTGCAAACTCCAGTCTGGTGAGAACTGGAGCAGGCGCCGGTGCATTGGCAGAGCTGTTTGTGGGAACGGCAAAGGCAGAATGGCTTTTTCCTTCTTTCTTGAATTTGCAATGACTTTCCCCCTTCAGGCTGTGTAGGGAGGAGAAATAAAGGCACTAAACTGGATCATCTAAAGGAGGAGATCCTTAGTCTGGATTTTCTTGCTTTCATCGGAATATTTTTTGGTTCGTGGCCTGGCTCTGAAGTCCTGAGCCTAACAGTTGTCATTTGCTGGTAACACTGGCCCGTGTTTATTAATGAACCTTGCTGGAAGAGCTGTTTTTAGCTGGTCACAAGAAGCTCCCTTCCAGCTACTACTGCTTCATCTGATGTATGGACTGAGAGCATCCTTTAGCATCCATGCCAAAATTCAAGGCAAGTATCTACTAATGTGTGCCAGCAGTAATATTAAAAATAATAAAGAGGAGGGATTTTCTGAAGTTGTTGTTTTTCATGTCCTGAATCCAAAGACTATAGTTCTCAGTTCTGAGATTTTTGGCTTCCTCTTCTACTCTTGACTTCGTCACATATGAGCATTTGCTATGAAAAAGGAAGGTGGCTAGAGAGTATTTTTATCTGAATTTGTTAGGAACTGTGACAGAACTGATGCTATGTGGAACCAGAGTCTGAACATAGGGATAGGAAAAATAATTATCTGATGAATTGGATACATGCTTTGATTAATTTCTGATATTGGCAAACTTGTGGGAAATCTTGTCAGGCCCAGGTATATAGGTTTTACAAATCCTGCAGTGACTGGGTGCAATTCTGGATCTTGAATACAGAATAGATCATAGTACACTATCAATGGCTGGCTAGAAACTGGAGATTGATTCAGCTCTGGTAGTTTCATGCTCATTTCTATTGCTAAAATACATTACTGTCTTTGACCTTTGTTTCTTACCTAGGCATTTCTGGTGTGAACACATGGTGATGGTAAAAATGAATGAAAAGCAGACTTTTGGGAGGCAGAGCAGAAATTTGGGTGTGGAGTGGGGGCTGCATTTGCCCAGCTCTGTTAGAACTTTCCTTTTTCCCATCTGTAAACACATGATGACTTATAGAAGGATCATTAGATTACATTTTTCATGCTGTTGTCATTAATTACCGTTTGAAAGTTGAAATTAACTGGGTTCCTTGGTTGTTGTGAGGTGAGTAATGTGTGTTTACTGAGCGGTGATCTGCTGCCTGCCAGCACATCTTGGCTACCTGTACTTACTGGTTTTAGCCACAGAAAGAACTTGAGGTTATGTTGCATTTGATCCATTTAAAAACAAAAGGAAAGGGAGATTCTTTCCTGTCTCTTTAAATAAATTCCTTAATGAGCAATATCACCAAAATAGGCTAAGCAAAAAGGTAGTTAAGTATTTTGGTCAGACAGGGTCAAACAATCTTAACCCAGAAGCCAAGTCATTCTCAGGGAGCTGGAATTGTTAGAGAGCACTACCTCTAGAATGAAAGGTGAGCTCAGTGATATGGCTAGGGGGTTTCTGGTGTAATTTTTCAGGGAATTTTTAATATTTCTGTTAAGTTAGGTCCCCAAGAAGCTTAGTGCTCCCATTAAATAGTAGCTGCTGTATGAGCTTGCACCTGAACACTCATGAAGAAATGTCAAGTATTCCCTATGTACTAGAAGAGCTTCAATTGAGGAATGATTTTTTAGACCCCAGAAATGATAACTGAGTCAAATCAAGACAAAAGCATAGAAGAATCTTCTGCTCATGCTAAGGCTTATCTTTCTAATTGCTTTGAGGCACAGAATGTGGCTATATTTGGAAGTGTAAGCACAGGACAAGGCCACAGAGGATTCATCTCCTATTCCCGACCCTCTGTCCAGTTTTTCTGCTGTTATAAATACTGAGAGTAAAGCTGGTGGTGTGAAAATCTTGTGATAATCCTCCTGGGAATTTTTGTCCCAGTGTCCAAAATGTGAAATTAAAATTTCTCCTGTGTGTAGCTCTTCTATATGTGCATAAATGCTGAACAGAAATGGCAGGATTATGGCCAGAGATGATTGATTAATCAGTTAAAGAATTTTTGCAGAAACATTCTGGAAGAATCTTCCCGGAGTTTCTGGGTTGTATCTCAAAATGTAGGTCCCGGGGAAAATGTAGAAGTTTGATTTGCAAGTGCAGCTGGCAGTTTAGCTCTCACATTACCTGTATTTGTTAGCAGATGGTTGTGGTTGCTGCTTATCTTCCCATTCGTTGGAGAAAATTGTTAAAGGCTAATATTTGCAGTGATGGTTATGGATTCCCCTGGCAGACACAGAAGTGTGTGGGCATAAAAATGCAGACTGAATTACGTGAACTTGAGTTACTTATTCGAAGACCCTATTGAAAAGAACTTCCCGTTCAGGCCTCATGTTGATGTTGCTTTATCTGATATGAAGTTGCTACTAATACGAAGTTTTATTTTTTCTATGATAGTGCTCCACTCGAAGTTTGATAAGTCTTTCAACGGAACATCTACCCAAGCCTGCAAACGTGCAGTAGCTGTACTACTTATCCTATAAAGAGCGTGTGAATTGTCAGGGCCTGAAGCTGATGGGATGTCCTTTTTGAGAGGTAAAAGAAATACAACTTGTTGAAAAGCAGTGATGGCAGTGAATGCTAACATGGGAGTATTTGGGGTAGGCTGTGACAGAGAGGTAGCTGAGATGAATGACTATATTTGAGGTGGAGTAGCTGTTTATTGAAATCCTATTGCATCCGAGGTAGGGGCAGTGAGGCTGTATGGTATTTTAGGACACTGATTTCCTGTGGACCTATAAAGAAGTGTTCAGAAGAATGTGGCAGTTCAAGTGCTGTTTTGGTGTTTCTTGGTGCTACTAGCATTTTGCGTTAGCATGCAGTGCAGAGGTCAACTATCGCTGCAGTTCGCATTAGGACATCGTCTGGGTCCCTTTTAAGCAACGAATCTTGCTTTGCTGTAAGAGGTGTTTCTAATCCCTTCCAGGGCCAAGAGGAGGGAAATCAGATCTAGAGCTGCCAGAGGGGCTGGGTAGGAGAAGTGAAAGTGTATCAATAACAGCTTACATTCAACAGTAAGGTAAAAAGATATATCCAGGAAATCAGATTCCAGATTCCTTGTCTGTTATTTCAGAGCCAGTCACTGCTCTTAACCAACTCATGATGTAAGTGTAAGGGCTTTTGCTTGTCCCCTGTTACCATGATACTTCAACACTGTAGTTTTGTCTTTGATATTCAGGTACTGTTTTCCTAGAGGGAACCTTGTAACTACCCTAAGGACTCAAACTCTGGACGGACTGACAAAAGTGTAAGTGGTTGCTGCCAAGCAGCTGTTGCTTTTGACTTGTATCCCTGGCAGCATCCTTCCTCAGCTAAGGGAAAGGGGAATAGGGGGGAAAGTTTTCTCATGTTGAGGTTGCAATTTTGATGGAAGGATCACTGAGTATTTAACAAAGAAACAGCTTGCCTTATGAGAAGGGCATCCAGGGAAGAGGTTTATTGATGTTCAAAATCAATAATTCAACGATAAAGAGGAAATGAGGTTCTCAGGGTTTGTATGTAAGAACTTGAGACTATATTTGCAGCTAGACTGCTCTTGCTTAGTGAAGTAGTGGGGCCACCTAAGAAAGTGTAGTTCATGAAACAGGCAATGTATGGGTGGCTTTGCAATACTTACGGAAGAGGAGCTGGGGAAAAAGGGATACCAAATTGGTGTGCAAAAATAAATTGCATCAAAACAGGTGTGGATAAGTGAAGTAATCCAAAAATTATCTCTTTGGGTTTATTTAGAAGCTTCTGCAGAGCTTGTCTGAACACAAACTTCAAAGTGGATCAGAAGGTAAGCCTTGCATGATCTAAACATACAGGTATTACTCGAGACCTGTGTTTTGTTCCAGGCTCTGCTACTGATCTGGAAGGAAGAAGGTATTTGGAGTAGATATTTCATGTCTTTTGATTTTCTGTGAAATCAAAGCAGTGATACCAGCTACCATAAAAACTTGAGGAGATAAGCTGATGGAAAGGTATTATTTATACTCGTAAAATAATTTCCATGAATGTTTGTGGCAAGTTTCCCAAACTGGACTCTTGAATTAACTTTTTTCAGTTAATAAAATTCTGTTGTTTATGCCTCTTTCCCTCTCATGTCCAGAATACAAGAGAGATCTCAACTTTCTGTTGCTTCCACTTAATTGGATTAGTCATCTACCTCCAAAGGTATGTGCCTCAGGTCCAGTTCTTGCTGACAACCAAATCAATGGCCCATTACATGAGGTAGATAGAATCCAACATCAAAGGAGAGAGCAATTTGGGTTGGATAGATGCCAGGAGCTTTTCGTGCTTATCCAAATACCTGCATGCACTGAGATTTTTCTTATTACTGCTAGTGCTCCCTTATTACGTGTCAGAAAGATTAAAACGTTTGCTTGTGAGTAAGGTTTTAGTACCATTATCTCTAGTGCCCAAATAAAAATGGTGATGTGGGGCTGTCTGTTATGTTGATCGCTTCTCATTTTCAAATCCTGGTGTCTCTGGGGAATGAAAGTGAGTGATGCATAAAGCTATCTACACATGGTATTTTTAGCAGTGCCTCAATATGATCAGCTCTTCATCTCTTTCTGTCACACAATCAACAAACAAAATTAAGAATTATCATTGCTATAATGTGGCAGGAAGAGGTTGCAAGGAGATGAGCTCAGAGGAGATGAGAGCGCAGAGTTCCGGCTGAGTTCTCCTAATAAAGCTATTGCTGCAAAATATCTTCCAAAACATCTGTGAAGGTCCCTGGAGAGCCTGCCAAAGATGTGACACTGCAAAAGTTTATGTTGCCCTGGTACAGACCTCAACAGCATGCTCTGTGCTCTTGGCTATGGTAACCCACAGCCAGTGTCCTGTGGAAGTGCCATTCGTTATAGAGTAGGACCACCTTCGGTGTGAAAGCAATTCATAAATGGGCACTGGGAAAGCTGGAAATGAGTCCTAAATCCATTGAAGTACAAGAAAAATTCAGATAAATATCCACTCCAGCATATGTGAGAAATTAAACCCCAAGACCTCTATGGAGCTAAGTACAGCTGTTTTGCAAATTATGACCCCTTTGGTTTGTACATCAAGCCAGATAGCTGAAGAGAACTGTTTATACTGTGTTATTTTTTGTATCCTCCTCGGAAAACAATCTTTGTGTTCCTTTTCTGGTCAGCTGAGGTGTTTGGAAGCAGAGGCAGGAGAAAGGTAACTGGATTTTACTCCTGAAAGAAACTGGGACCAAAAAAATGAACAGACAACGTAATCTGAAGAGATCTGCTCCAGTCAGATTGCCAGCTAGGTTGCGGGTACAGCCCATCCCCTTTTCTATACCTTAGTTTTCATGTTTGAAAAGTGGGATGATGTTACTGGTCTTTGAAATACTTTGGAAGAGGAAGATCATTGCTTAAGCGATGGGACCCATTTTCTGTGGTTCCTCCCTCCGTGTCACTAATGTACAGAATTGAAAGCTTTGCTGCAGTAGTGGGCTAGCATATGAAGAGCTAAGAAATCATATGAGTTTGCAAAAAAGTTCAGGTCAGCTTTGACAAATGCAGACTTTCATAGAATATTCTCTAAAACTGTGAGGGACTTGTGCTAACTTACCGGGAACAAAGGTGTTAGGGCTGGGGCACCCTTTATGGCCCACAGCAGATTTACAGCTACTTCTCCACCAAGTCCAGTGCTCAGTTTTCTTTTATCAATCCCTGGCTGCCTCCACTCCTCCTGTTTTTGCTGTGATGAGACTCAGGGTTTTTTTTTTCACAAGCCGTGGGGCAACTTGCCCATACAGATCAGGCAGGTACAAAGACTACTCTTGAAAGTCTTGTCCTGGGGGTCTGCATCTGTAAAACCTGGCTTTATAAAGCTAGCATTTGGGTATGGTTGTTCCCAGCATAAGATAATGTATGAAGTCAGGAATTCCAGTGTTAGCACTGGGCGTGGATTTGCTACTCTGACTTTTTTTTCAAGAAGATATTCTTGCTTTCTTTCCAGAGGCAAGCCTTTCCAAAGTTGTGAACACAAGAGCTTGCCAAATATTAGCTTTCAAGGTTTTAAGTCACACAGTGTTTACTTGAGTTACCTCTTCTTGAAGTCTATATAAAGAGTCATGTTTGCTCAGGCATACTCCTAAAAGCCCCAAGACATGCTCTGGAACGAGGTATGCAGCAGCAAATGTAAATAATGCTGTCCTTAAAATGGGAAGGCCTCTGGGTAATCTATACAAGGAAATAGTAACATAAGGAAAAGCCTTTATAAGATTTGGAGGCAACTTTATAAGATTTGGAGGTGAAGACTATAGAATAGTACCCAGAGTGGATAAAATTCAGAAATTCGGTGATGTTGTAAACACAGCTTCTCCTGGCCAAGGCTTAGCCCTGCAATTGCAGCTGCTTTCTCTTGTTCCCTTTGCTGTCACTAAGTCAGCGTTTACCTGTACCCCAGCCTCTGAAGCAATTGCTGGGAACAATTTTTAGGGACTTTGCTGGTCAAATTACACTGGCCTCTTGCTATGAGACAACAGCTGGAAAAAAAAAAAAATTTGTTGTACTTAGCAAAGTGATTCCCTCCCACCTTTTGTCAGTAATTGGTGTCATTTTTCCAAGAAGGTTGTGGAAATGTGAGCTGAATTTCAGGTGCTCTGTGATACGATAAATGGGAGAGGAGTTTTCATGAAGGAGTGCCTAAATACAGTGCAAATAAAGAAAAATAATTGGATTAAAATTCAACCGCAATATTTACAAGCCTCTCCACCTGCCCATATATTGCAGGTATGTCGAGACTGAACTCATAGAATGAGTTTCCTGCAGCTGAGACAAGTGAGCAGAGTGCTGGGTTGGCTGAGGAGAATGATATTTGCCCTTGCTATGCCACTTTTTCTATGTATCAGCAGGCAGCCCATCCAATTTCTACTTACCTTCTTCCCTCTCTGTAGATAGCTATTATCAGCCTTCCCACAGCAGAGGCAGGATGTCAATAAACGGAGCTGAAGCATTTTTACGCTGCAGCAGAAAATCCTGTGCGTGAGTTAATGTAGAATAATTAGACTTATCGGTGTATTGCATCTAACGCGGTGCTGTCCAGATGAGTGAAGGATTGCTGCAGAGCTGGAGGCAGCAGGACCAGCTGTGAGCCTGCAGCCTGCTCATAGATTTATGGTTTCCCAATGCCATCTGCTGGCATGTGCCTTGCTTGTGCACTGAGCGCTGAAGCCCTCCAGCTTCTCTCTCCCATAAGCAGATGCTGCAGCTCTCCATGTCTTTGCAGGTGGTATAAACCCAAACCAGCCTTTCTTGATGATTTCTTGAGCTTTGCAAAACAAATGTTCCCTGCAGCCAAGCACCTGTAAAACCGCTCTGCTCATGGTCCCTCCTGGAGCTTTTCTTTAGCTGGGTGCCCTGGAGGCTTTCTACACCTCCCTTTTTTGCCTGCTGTAATGTTGTATGCTCCATGGGAGCAGCCCCAGATCCAAGAGAACCTGCAGGTGGATTTTTTTTTTTTTTTTTTTTTTTGTAACCTACCGGGCTAAACCTCCAAATCCGTGTAGTTTTGAGGGAGTGGATTTGTCTTTGGTGTGGTAGTGGTACCAGTAATACTGCAAGGGTAAGGCTGTAAAGATACTGCTAGAAAGCTTTTGGAGCACTGGAAGCTCGATGTTTTTATAAATCCCTGAAATGACCAGAAAAAACAAAAATGAATATACAGGCAGTAGAGGATGTAGGGAACTTTGTCCTTTCTGCTGTCTTGCAGTCTTGCAAAAGGGATCTGTGGCAAGCAAAGATACACTGTGCTAACAACATTAGTTGATGATATTCCTTGGCTTTTGGTGTTAGCACTCTTGATACCCTGGTAGAGCTGTTTTTATGCTTTAAGCTAGCATCACTGTCTCCAGCATGGCATCTGCTCTGGGATGATGTGTGCTGCAGGGGAATTGAGCTGTGTATCTTCCTCTAATTCCAAGCAAGTGTAACTCAGCTGCTTGTAAGCACCCTTTAGGTGTGTGTCAAAGACCCAGCTGTGCCCATGCACACTCTATGAGCCTAAAGACAGGACCTGTGACAAAGCAAAGGTAATGAAATTCACTTTTAAATCTTCCATTTCTTAGAGGTAATATTTCATTTTGTGTAAACGCTACCAAAAAACCTCTTGCTTCATGCAACTCTCTGACTTCAATCCAGGTCTGCCCAGGGCTTCCCTTATTTCTGCCTGCAGGGAACTTGCACTAGTTAACCACAAATAAAGTGGAGCTTCTGACACTTAAATTCTAGTATGTCAAGAGTGGGTAGCAACAAGACCTAGCTGGAATCTGTATTAGCACGTTTGCAGATATGGATCAGAGTTTTGAAATCCAGATGTCATGAGGATAAATGAAGAGGAGAAATTGCTAATCAAATTCTCGGACTGCAATGCAATTAGCCAGGGTAACTTGATGGAAAATGTAATCAAGCCTTCTAGTCTGTTTTCCAGCTATATCTAGGCTCTGATTTTTCAGTCCTTAGGCCTCCCTCTTCACATGGACTTAAAAAATAAGGAGGACGTCTGTGAAATTCAATGAAGTAATTCAGTTTTACCAAGCAAGTCTAGTAATCCTGCTGGACAGATCTTCCAGAGGCTTCTTCCTTTTAACTGGGAGAAATATGGTTAATAAATTCTCCATCTTCAGACCATTAATAGTATAGGTAATGCCAAAGCAGAAGCATTACACTGGAGTAGGAATGGATTTTTTTTTTTTTTCCCCTCATTGGTCAGTAGGTGGTTAAATTTGAGAGGCTTTTCTCTATCTTGCACATATATAAACCAGTTTTTCTGAGTTCCAGCATCCGATTTTGTGCTGGGGGAAATTGGTACTTGTGTCCACTGTCATGTTTGTCAAAATGATGCAATTAAATGCAGAATACTTATCAGTAAATCATGTTAATAGACCATAAATTATAATGGACTGCATATATCTTTTTTAGATGGCTGGACACAAAAAATATTGGCCTCACGTTATTGGGTAGGGGTGTCCCCTTGCTTACAAACTTTTACTGAATACAGGAATCTCAGATATTCTGACGTCCCTGTAGGATGAAAGGAGAAGATGCAACTTCATAGTGGAGCTGCAGGTGTTGGCTTTCTACAAAGTAACCTAAAATGTTTTTCTCTGAATAATGCAGTGTAAAAACACAGCAGTAGCTGACATACTGCCTGCATTTTGAATTTGAGCCAATGTTTAACCCTGAAAAAGGTAATGATCGAGCACTTTGGGTTCCGTAGTATTTTGGGCATACCACTGTCAAGGTTTTAACACTGGCCAGATGGGAGATGATGCACAAAATTGCTGCTTTAAGACTTAAAAAGTCTCTGCAAATTAAGCTTTTCATTTTCCTTCTTTCTTCCTAAAATTTGCTTACAAATTGCATGTAAAACATTGTTTTGATAGGGAAAGCCTGATTATAACAGTAAGCTTTAGCTTTCAGGGAAAATTAGAAACTGCCAGCAAGTTGTGTGCGTTAATGGCTCAAGTTTACTCTAAGATAGAACATTTTTGGTTCTATTTTAGAGGCAATTTTTAACTTTACCCACAAAGATACATATATATGTGTATATATACATATACATATATATATATATGTATCCTGGGTCATGAAATTGATGATATAGGGATGTTGTCAATTCTTCTAGGACATGCAATTAAAAAAAAAGGTAAATACTTAAGTGATCAGACCTTGCAATAGGAATTATCTTCAGAAGCTGTTTAACAGGCAGGATTAAATGAGGGAGCATCATAGCCATATGAAAGGATTTCAAGCCTCATCTAATTTCCTCAGCAAACAGGATTTGATACCACAGAAGCTAGGGTAAGGAATGTATCTCTATAACATAAGCCCATGTGCTCAGATACTGGGTTTCCAAAGAAAATTGCCTCACCAGAGCAGCAAACCATGGCTGACAGTGATTGGTGGGGCTGGTGGAAGCCCTCCTGTAGATCACTCTCGGTTGCCCTCTCAGGTACTGACAATGTAATTTAAAGCACATTTCAGACTGCTCTAAATCACGTGAAGTAAGCTGCGCAAGTTCTGTTGACCCTAAACTTGGGGGATTTGAAATGGCATCTTATACCCACTTCTGTTGCACTACAGCTAATGAGCTGGGGCGGGGGGGTGGGGCTTGACAGAGCTGGAGGGATGGTCTGGTTGCTTACAGATGTATAAAACACACAGGTTTGCTTTGCTATTAAAATAGAAGCAAAAGTTCAGAAGTCAAATGGAAGCAGCTGCACTTAGAAACTCTCATGCTATTTGTTCTTATTGCCTGCAGTTTTCTACATTTCTGTTCGCCCCATGTAGGCCCCCAGGACCTGGGAACTGGATGGCTTTGAGATGCTGCCCTTTGCTTCCTGCTGTTCCTCTGGAGGCAGCAGTTATCTGTGAATTGGTGAGTGACTGCTTCACAGATACTTCATGGAGGTTTGGTTACACTGAGCCTTCAGTTCGCAGGGGGCTATGCCTCAATGCCAGAGCCGAAATGGGATCTGGAAGAAGGTTTTATGTATTTCCATGCATCTATGCTAATATTCACTGGAAAAAGACATGAGAATTTTTGCATTTCATGTTTTCATTTTGCCTCTGCACTGTTTTGCACTCAACTAATTTGGTTTATGGCCTTGCTCAAAATTTTCATGTTTACCTCAAAGATGGCTGTACATGGTGGTGGGAAAGGGTTTACCTGTATTTGAATTATAAAAATGCTGAACTGTTTAGTGGACACAGAATAGGAAATGCTACAGGAAGACAGTGAGGATTCTTATTTAACAACTACACTGTAGAAGGAAGATACGATTTTTTAAAAAAATTTTTATTTTTCATGCTTGTTTTGAGTCTCTCAGGCACCACTTCCACCTCTGGAGCTGAGGGCTGCAGAAAACTATGTTCCTTGGTGATGCTAAGAGATTCCAGCAATATCACACCTTGCTTTATTCTCACCAGCAGACTCATACTCAGGCCCTAATTTCTCAGCTTCCCCCTCAGAAAAATGTATATTTCTTTGATAATATCTCGTTTTGCCTGGAAATAAGCTACATAAGTCACTTGTATAAGAAAATACAGGGTCCGGAGGCTGTGATAGTAGCTGTGGAGTTGTGACAGAGCATCTTGCTTTAAGATCTTTGCTCTCAATGGCCACACAGTGGCAGCAAAAACCAAATAGGTTTCCCCATCCTAAATCAGTGGTGCAGAAAAAAAATGTGTCCATGACAGTACAAGATCCAGTTCGTGCTGATAAGCTATGAAAAGGTTTATTTAAGTAAAAAACCTCCTATCTATATGTCACGGAGGGGAGAACTTGAGCCCACGCTGCCCCAGTATAATATTGGACTGAGATGAATCCTGTTGCAGGAAAAGACTGATGGGATTCACTTCCAGCTTGTGTCCTTTTGTGCTCTGCTCCTGGAGGAATTGAACTGGCTGGGAGTGACACAAACTCTTCTAGACACTTTTAATAAGTTCTGGTCAAGTTGCATGAGTTTTCAAGGAAATAAACATGTTTTTAGTATCTCTCTGAGGATGAATTAAAGGCATAGTGCAAATCAGTCGTCTTTGGGAGCATAATATACTTCAGTTTGGTCATATCATCATTTACAGCTTCAGAGTGCTGGTTAGGCTTTGTACTCTACAAACAGAGTATGGAACCAGCTCCTAACTAATCCTTGAAGTCTAAATAAAAAGCTATAAGGAAAGGACACTTTCAACGTAGATAAAGTACCAAAGCATGGAGGCAAAGGATTACTTCCTTTTTGAGGTTATGGATTTATCTGAAGACAACTAAGGAGCAGAGTCTCTTTCGAAAGAGCCTAATTCCCTTGCGATGAAGTCTTCAAGCACTTGAATGCTTCTTGCTTAAAACTGTACTAGAAATACCCCAGGTGGGGATTGGAAAGCAAAATTTTATCACAGCCCTCTGGCACCCACCATGTCAGCACTGGTCCCAAGACCCACTTGCCGCCCCACTGCCTGGGCCATAACCAACAAATGAAGACAAGGCTGTAAGGCAACTAATCATTTATTATTAAAGAAAAATAGTGCAACCTAAAATGGATTTTTACCTCCTGGTCCATAAATCTTCACAGTTTCTTTCCTTGTCTAGAAGGACAGGAATTTCTTTGTGACCAGAAAAAGATGTTGGCTGTGCCTGTAGCGTGTCCAGTTCAGCAGAAGGGAAAAGTCTGTGTATTATGTGCAGCCGTAATTAGTTTAGGACACTAATTAAAGGAGCACCTGTTTGCTACGCAATCACCAAGTGAGATATGAGGCTCAAGGAGCAGCATGGGCAGAGCACTTGAACGAAGGAATGTGGTCATACAGGAAAGCAGGGTGAAACACCACCGGGTGTGTGAACTCCAACGCAATTTTTTTTTTTTCCCTTCCTTGTAAGTGGATTAAAGGAGACAATCTGAATATCTTAATTATCACCATTTCCTATATAGGGAGTAATTTACTAGTTTAAATAGGAAATAATATAGTACAATTTATTTAAATGACTCATCAAGTAAGTGACTCAGCCCACTGTTTTATGCCTGTCCTGTGGGAAGGGGTATCTGAAGCTATAGTCATACAGATGTGCTACACCCCTATAGTACAGGCTGTAACTTTTGGCTGTAGTTTTTGCATATCACCACAGGCCAGTTTAATACTTTTGTTCTCTTTTCAAGTTCATCAGAAAAGATGTATTACAGTTGAGATGTATTTATCTTGCAGCTAACAACAGTTGGATGGAATAAAGAGCATGTTGCCAATTTTAAACTTTTATTTTTCTCACTAATCATTTATTATAAAAGAAAAATAGTGCAACCCTAAATGGATTTTTACCTCAGGGTCCATAAATCTTCATGGCTTCTCTCCTTGTCTAGAAGGACAGGAATTTCTTTACAAGGTGCTATAGATCAAGATTAATGCTTATCTGTGTCCAAGGCTGAACACAAGACCTGAACACCAGCAAAGCCTCAGCAGAGTCCTTATGCAAATGACATGTTCTAGCATGAAATTTGTTGTTATTTCACTGCAAGTAGCTCTTGGAGGGCTAGTCTGACTGTGAAAATAATCCTGGAAGGTTAGGTATTTGAAAGAATCCTCCATACAATGTTTAAAGTTCAGATTTTCAGACTGCTGGGTGCAAATGTGCTCACCTGGCTCATGTGTGTACTTGTCTGCTAATCCCAGGATTCCCCAGAGCTAGCTGGGGCATGGAGGAGTGCTTGGAAATGTCTTCTGAGAGGCTTGTGTTCAAACAGGGTCATCATTAATGTGAACAAGAGGAGCACATATATGGGCAAACAGGTGAGATGTATGGCTAGCGCAGCCCAGTGACCTGTCTTGGTGCCCTGGGATTCAATGCTGCAGAGGGAAGCCAAAGACTTTGTTAAGGATGAGTAAAAATCCCTCTCAGAAGCAGCCTCTTCTCCCCTACTTGGAAGGGAGGAAGGCTGATGCATGCCAGCATATATAATTTAGCTCCTGAAAAATTACTGGGTACCCAGTTACCATCTCATGGTTATCTGGGCTTCCGTGCTCCTCTTGCCTTTCTCACTGCTTTTCTGGTCACTGCTCACAAACTGCTCTGAGCTGTGGTATCTCACAAATTGATTGTCAGTGGGCATTCAACTTGTATGGTGAAGGTAAGTCAAACTCTCTGGTGATTTTTAATTTCGGGATAATGAGCAAAGGCTGGTTCCCCACACATACACCCCACCAGCACCACCCTCACCCCTCCCTGGCATCTCCTGAACTTGCTGATTTTTTTTTTAGACATCAATCTAAGATTTAACAATCTTTGCAGTGGCAGAGATGGTGGTACGTTTCTCTTTGGTCAATTTGCATTTTTCAGATACCTTTGTTCTCTTTTATCCAGTTCTTTGCATGTGGTGCCTTCTTTCTGGAGAAAGGAATTAGAGATAAACATTACAACCCTGTTTCTAAGAAAGCCTGATCAATCCTCTGACCAGCCTCTTGCTGTTCTTGGGAAGGTACAGGTGCTTGTACAGTAGACAGCACAAATACTCTGGACCTTACCTGATGCATGAGTCTCACTTTTTTTCTTCTTCTTCTATTTGTACTCTTAACTTCCATTATAAATATTTTATTTCCCTCCCTCCTTTGGTGGTCAGACTTTCAGCCCCCTCAGTGCAATGCCCAGTTTGGAGCATGAAGGGTTTGGGTGAGCTGTCGATGCACCTCCCTTCCTCCGGGGCCTGGTTCAGTCAGCTCAGTAAATCTGCGGTTGGCCTTTTTCCCTGAATGTGCCTAGATCCTGTTATTTGGTGTCATTCCTGCTTGCACATGTTCTCTGAACTTTTGCTGGCTGTTTGCATAACCAGGAGCGTATTTCCTGGCTGGCATACGGCCCTGGGATCTGCTTATTAGCGGTAGTCTTGGATGGGGGTGAGTTGGTATTCAGAGCTGTAGGCTTGTGCTTCACGTGCTCTGCAGTCTCTCAGGAGTTTAACTCCTAGCCTTGCTTAAAGTCAGCCTGTGACTCAACTTAATTTCTGTCCCATCCCCCACCCCAAATATCAGTGTACTTGGAGCTTATGCAAATATAAGATTCCCAGATTTGATCCTGGTGATCTGAGGGAAGGTGACTGGTACCACATTGCCCAGTTCAGGTCCTCTCCAAAGTATCTGAACATCGTCCACCTTATCACCATCCAACTGTAAACTGAGAGTATCTTGAAAGCCAGGTTTCTAAGACATGGGATCATTTATGGAGTCTGAATGCTAATGATGCCTTAGCTGCACTTTGAACTCAAGTTTTAATATTTCTGTATATCCATTTGTTAGCACAATTTTCCACCTTATCTGATTTTCAGATTCAATGTGGATTTCTTTCAGACTCTCATTTTTTTCCTTTCAAGTCATCTATCTATTGAGTGTCAACTGATGATCTTTAGTGCCTCAAACAAGTAAGAAGACAATATTTCTTTGCTTTTCCCTCCTGTGTTTGCTATCTTTTTTGTTGACACTTAATGGTCGTTCAGTACCACAGCTGCACAATTTCATTTTCCTCATCCACTGTACCTTTTGTCTCTTCTATTGTCAGACCTGTTCTCTCTGGTTTTTGAACCTTCCAGCTCGTCCGAGGCTAAAAATTTCAGTTGAACCAAAAAGGAGGAGTGTTTTGTTGATGCTGGAGAGGACACCATAAGCTCATTTGCTTGATGCATGCTGCAGAAATGGCCATCAACATCAAATCACAGACACAAATATGCCAAAAATGTAGAGGTACCCAGAAACCAGCCAATGGCCTTAGAGACTCATGCCAAATAATGCTCCAGATGTGTTTCTATTTAGCTTCCTCATGTAAGAATGCTGCTGCTTCCCTGGGTACTATGGGTATGAAGCTTAGTGGTAAAGAAAATGACAGAAATCTGGTGATGCTAATTAGTATAGGCTAACAAACTTTTCTGATCTTGGGTACAAAGCAATTCCTATTCAAGGAGAAGGGAATAATCTGAGCTTTCTTTTCAACAACAGCAGCTATTTTTCTGCAGAGTTCAGATGCTCTGATCATCTAAAATGGGAAGGCAGTTAATAGTGGAAATGTCTATTTGACACATCCACTTGCCTCTTACACATGCAACAGAATGCATGGTCTTCTGTAACCAGAAGGATTTTATATGTTATAACAGGTCTATGATGTGGTGTTCTTCTGTCGGTGAGAAGCAAAAGAAGAAAGGGAAGATATTCACTTCAGGGGGAGGAGAAGGAGAGATTTCAGTCAAGTCTGTCTTATATTGCCAACACTGGAGAGAAATATTTCATGCTTTTTTTACAACTTTACTAAATCATATAGGAACATCAGATGCTGAATAAAGAACAGCATGGAGGAAAAAAATGACTCAAAAAGCGATCTATCTTACTGAAAGCGTGGTTAAACTGTGTGCACGTACTATTTCTGAAACTGTTTTCCCTGCTTTTAAGGTTTATCCTTGAAGTCCCTGACTTACTACAGCTATTGCAGGAAATTAATGTTGTAGTCTGAACAGGATGTTTGTAATGTTTCCACGGGTATAAAAATAACTTTCCCAGTTTCAATTAAATTGAGTCCTCAAAGATAATTTGGGGTTTGTGTAATGGAATTTGGGGAATTCCTGAAGATGCTAACTATCTGTGTTATAAACGAGGTTCTCAATGTACAATCCTACTGTATCGGCTGTTAGAAGTGATAGACTTGTAAAGAAGCAGCATTTTCTTTCATTTAGTGTGGTATTTGTGAAAATCAGTGTAGTTGGCTTTACTTTCAGTTTAGACTTCATTCTTTGTTCATTGCTTTTCCTAGTTTTTGAGGTTCTAGACTTTTAAAGGAATGTTATTTCCTTCTGGAAATGTGACCTTTTTTTTTTTTTTAAAAAAAAAATCTCTGCTGTCACTTCTCTGTAAAAACTCTAGTAATAAATTTGATAGCCACGCAAATTTTCACTTTTCCTTCTAAAACTACAGAAGGTGATGGTGGTCAGGAAACAGTTACTTTATGGATAGGCCACAAATCAGAGTCAGTTTTCAAGCATTCCCACTCCTTCATACTAATATTTAAAGCTATGTAAAATACAGCTCTGTGAAATATTCATAAAAGCAAATGAAGCAGTACTCCACACGTGTGGTTTTTTTTCCCATGCACTATGAACCAAAAAGGGGAAATATTTTAATCTTGTACTTTTTTAGGAAAGACCAACCCAATCAAAATATTAATAAATAATCTTTAAACAGGAAAATCACTTCAGGTGGGCAGTGACTTGCTTTGTAAGATTCCATGTCTGACCTAGTTAATCTACTCTGTCTTTGGGAACCAGGACAAGAACAATAATTCTACTGAGAAGGTGTAATTTGAAGAAACCGTAATGGACCCTATGGTGTGATCAGTGGGGTCCTTTGTGTATAGCTAAGATGCTGGAAAATATTACTGTTTGCTGGGTTATCCCTGTCAGATCTCACTGCTGGAAGTGGTTACCTCCTTGGAGTCTCTGGCAGAGTGATCTTCTCCCCATCTGGTCCAAGTTGGGTGAGTAGCAAGTTGTAGGAGGATCTGAAGGGGGCTGGGGAGGAGGGAGAATCCCCTTCTGTTGACACCAGTGTTTAAAATGTTGTTGAACCTCAGCTTCTCTTCCATGGCTACAGAGGAGATGGGTTTAAGCAAACCTGATTATCAGCTTGCATCAGCCAAAATAGCCACTCAAATTTATTCAACCCACCTGGGTTTTTCCAAGTGATGCAAAACTAGGCAAAGTGGGACAGCCTCACTGAAAGGGTTTCCAGAACTGAATAAAGAGCAGAACTCAAAGGCCAGGCTTATTTGGGAAGAGTTTTGTATGAATACTGATAGAAGGAAAGGCTCTAGAATGGTTTTGTCTCCTCAGAATGTAATTATTTAGCAAGAGTATTGCCAGATGCCGTAAAGGGAGGAGGAAAAGATATGTTGGGTGCAGGATTAGAGGAGGTGGGTGGGTAGCCTGAAGACATCTTTAAGTTGAGCTGCATCAGTATGAAGAGGAACTGTGATGTACTGTAGTAATTCACCTTGTGCTGTCCCAGACCAGCAAGCAGCGGGGCTGTCTGTTCCTGGGTGTCTCCGTGGTCCCACGCCCTGGACCAGGGCATCGGATGGTAGGAGCTGTGTCCTCTCCCTTCTTCCAGGTGGAGCAGGTAAGTGCCAGGATGCTGAATTCCCTGCTTATTTCAGTCTTGCTTTTTCCGTTGGGATGATATTAGACTCTTGGATTTTTTTTTTTTTTTCCCCCTGTATAGTTCTAGAACATCCTGGAATACTGGCCACGGGCAGAGAAACAGTGTAAGGTGTGACCCAGGCTGGACATGGAAAGTAATTAATGTACTGACTGGACGACATTGCTCACTTTTGGTGGGTTGCTAGGTTTGTTTGGTGGGTTGCTAGGTTTGGTGCCAATATTCACATGGACCTTTAGAGTCTTTTCTTTATTTTAATGTGGCACAAGGGTCTGCTTTCAGGGACTACCTGCTATTTTTACAAAGCTACTTTCTTCCTCTTAAAGAACTCTAGAATAAGTGAAAATATCCTTGATGTTTTTACCTGATATTTTCTGAGGAGCCCTGTTTTCTGTAGCTTGTGGTGTCCTATGAAATAGATCTAGATTGGTCCTACGGTACTGTGAGGGTGTCTTGTGGCATCTGGAATAGCAGGTAAAAGCTGTGGACATCTCTCTGGATTGATGAACTGTAGTGGGGTTGCCTGTGACTGCAAAGCTGGGTGATGTTCTACCTTCTTTCCTAAACTAAATGTTGAGGTGTTTATTGTTGGTGGGGAGAAGACCTTTTACCTTGTCAGAAAACAAAAACCTGTTTCCTTTGCCCAATACTTACCCCCTTTCTCTCCATGATCCCCTATCTAACTTTCCAGGTTGCTTTCATGTTTTCAAGGTCAGAGTCTGGAAGGATTCCCAGTTTGCTCCACTTACACACCATTGTAATTATAATTTTACGCTTGGCCTTCAGCAGCATTGAATGCCTCATCTCTTGGAAAGGAATATGCGTAGGAAAACAAATAAAAGCACTTACCAGCTGGTGCCTAGTGAATTATACTATTTGAAGTTCAAAGATATTGAGTGTAGTACTTGCTTGATTGGCATTATGTGGATGTTTGACTGGCACCATTTGACCCTTTCTAGCATTATATTTAGATATATATGTTCTAGTGTAGTTTCTGTCTTGCCGTGTGAAAACAGATGTTTTAAGCTCTCATGAACTTTCCTTGTTTCCTCTAGATACTTGATCCCTTCTCTTCTTACCAGCAAATGGTCTAGGTTGGTTCCCCTCTTTCTTGATCCCACAGAATTGCTCTCTTTGGTCCTCATCTCATAAAACATAGCTGGAGACAGTCTGTAACCACAGCTGGCTGCCAGAAATGCCTCTATTTCAGTGTGATTCCAGGAAGGAGATGTGTGATTTGCCTGCCTGCTGCCAGCTCTTAACCTCTTGTGTTACTGCTGGACAACTCTCTCTCTGTTTATTGCCTCTATTCTCCTCCTCGCTCATCACTCAGCAAGCGGCTTTAAAAGTTATACGTGAGGGTTAAAAGGAAAGTAAGAATGCTTTGGTCTTACCCTCCTGGCGTAAGAGGTGTCATGTCACAACTTCCTTCACTAGCTGCTAGATCACAGCTTGCAACATGGAAATGCTGGCTGTGTTGAAAGAAAGTTTTAGAAGTTAACATGGGGGATCACTTTTCCCTGGAACTGTGGGATATTTGGGGCTCTGGTTTCTACTGAACCAGACAAACAATGGAATTGCCTTCAGTTGTCTCCAGGATTTAGTAAAAATAAGACACTTTGGTGTTATGGCTGTACTATGGTAGTCTGCATTGCAGGGAGTTAATATGCTTTGTGAAGCAAACACTACAACAGCACGCTTGTACTGCAGTGTCGAAATTTCTGTAGTTTGTTCTCTAAAGGGCCATGGAGTGAGATGAAAATTTGTAGTTGCCTAAGCAGCAGCACAACTTTTGTGAAGGGATATACTGGCAAATTTATCTTAACAAATTTGGAAAATGTTTAGGTACCTACAAATGTTCAGAGGAGTTAAGGAGCAAGTATATTTCTACAGTGGTAAAATTCCTGTTTTTTGAAGAACCAAATCTCTTCTAATTTGGCTGTCTAATCTTTCTCAGCTGCTAAACTATTTGCATCAATTTGAGATTCATGAAGAAAATTAACAACAAGATGTTTAAATGATATATAACATTGGAACATCTTGCCATGTGATTACAGAAATGCCATAAAAGTGCATGTATTATGCTAAGCATTAGAAAGCCCTTTAAAACACCCACACTCAACAGGTTGTTTTTCTCTTCCTGTTTTATTTTGCCATATCTTAGCTTGGTAAATGTACAGACATAAGAATCTGTTTTGGTAATTCTGTATCGTAACCTTTTATTCATATCCCTATGCAAAGCAGAATATGCTTTTATTCCCGACTTATTGATGCTTGCATATCTCTTATCAGTAGTGCTGAAGCCGGATGTATAAAGCACCTGGCTGCCATCTTCGGCTGTTACCTAGAAACACCACTCTCAACTTTTAGTGCTCTTTCTCCCCTTTCACCCACCTAATCCTTGGATAAATCATTTATGCTAAAAACCCCTTGTGGTTTATAGGGCCTGAGTGGCAGTGATGATCCTCCATAAACAACTCAGACATATGGAAGGTGAATTTTAATGAGTGCTCTCAAATCTAAGTTCTACCTCTTCCTTCTACACCTCAAATTCACTCATTTTTGATTTTTGTTATATCAAAAGCTGCTCTGTGCCTTTTTCCTAATTATCTACACTCAAGCTGGATTGTGTCAAACCTGGAGGAAAGGGAACATAGCTGTGTACACAGAGGTGGGGTTTTCACCTGGCCTCACTTAAGCAAGGGTTTAAATTCTCAGTCAAAACACCTGGACTTTTAAAGAGGAGAGATTAGCATCTTGTGCTGGGGGATTGTTTCATTTACTTTTCCTCTGCAAAAGGCTTTTGTGTTTCATGTCCTGTCTGCAAAATGTTCAACCTTGCTCTAGGAAAAGCTCCAAAGTAAATTAGAGCAGCCTCAGGGGCTGTTTTAAATCATAGCAGCTGAGGCCTTACCCCAGCACTTCAGGTTCCACCCTGTGCCTCTTCCACCAACAAACTCTACAATAATGTCAGATCTTCACTTTTTCAAAAAATAAAAAACCCAAAACCTCTTTGCTTTGCATCAATGGTAGATTTTCCTTGTCTGGGAAATCACTAGATCTGCTTTACAATAAACAAAGAGAATGAGAAATGGAGCCCAGCAGCTTTGCTGGGAAATGGGCATTCACCAGTTACTGTAATTCAGCATTACTGTTTATATTCTGAAGCGCATAGATTGATGGAGTAGGAAAAACACAGCTAGAATAATTGCTCCTGGGTATTGTGCTTTCAGATGAAAACTTAACCATTCCCGAAGCTGCTGAGGACAATTCCCCTGAATTTCCAGCATTGTGCAATCAACCATATGCCTTCTCTGGGGTTTCCGCTTTCCTCAGCTCTGACAAATATTGGTCCCTGACGGAGGCAGGGCAGGGAAATTGATGGATCAGTGGAATGATCCAGTACCAACAAATCCACAGTTACAAAAATAGGCAGTTATTCTTATAATTTCCTTGTTCCGGCACAATTTCCTGCCCTCCAGTTAGGCTGTTCTGAAGATCGCCTGGATGACAGATCTGCTTTGAAGACTGTCAAACCCCTCTGCAAAGAACCTCTCCTGCTATAGAAGTAGCTGTCGTGAAGAACAATGGCAGGGAGCAGGGTGAGAAGCTGTGTGGATGTTAACAGCCTTTGATCATATTTGGCACGTATCCAAATAGTGCCTGCTGTGGGCACTGCTTGTTTTTAACATTTCTGATCATATCGCACTAAAGCATAGGAACTGTGCTTTGCTTGATGAGTTTTATTTTACCTCCTACCTATTTAGTGATCTCCAGCCTTCTTGGAGCTGCTCAGAAGAGGAAAGGGACCTGGGGACCACAGAGATGCTCCTCTACGAGCTAGTTAGGACATGACTGCAGCAGACAAGGGAGGAAGGTGAATTAGTTTAATTAATAGGGTTCTGCTACTGTAGTTTATTTTGACAGAGGAGGAATAATGAGATCTCACAGCTGCAGCTCTGCTGACAGTTCTGTGTGTGATGATGTCTGGCATGGGGTGGTAGTGAGCAGATGGAATTGGTAACCTCTCTGGCAAGTGCTGCTATCCTTGGCACAGGAAACATGATAGCCTTTAATATCCTCATCAAGACCCTTAGGGATCTATGTACTAATGGCTCTAAGGGTGTATGTGACAGTTGGCCTGACTTTGCAGACTGGTCACCTTTAGTTGTCAACATCAAACCTTGTTAAGCTTAGTTATAAAAGTTCTCAGATAACTTCTGGTCATTTCTGGGTCTTAAATACTATGAAGTAATTGAAATTATAACACTAAACACTAAAGGGTCCATAGGTTGGTGGTTTTTAGAACAAAGTCTTTCTGTTTACTTATGGGATAACACTTGAGGAGCATCACTAAGTGAGGCTCTAAGTAGACTCATGGCCATATCTACATGTAAACACTTGTTCTGATCCAGGACGCTTAATATTACAGAGTTTATTCAACATCTAGAAGTATGTGCAAAACCCATATCCTTCAGAGTCAGCAATTCCAGTGAGTCTGATTAAGCAATTTACTAGAAACATGTATTATTAAAACATATATGGAGTCTGCTGTGCTCCCAGTTTCAGAGTCTGGATTTAGGCTTAATGAGATTTTGTACTATAATGAAGTGATAAGTGCTATAATAGAAAAACATTAACAGTAGAAGAAATGAAAGCAAGTAGCTACTTTCCTCATTCAAGTCAGTTTTGAGGAATGCAAAGCATGATGCTTAGCTATCAATTATTAATAAACATAGTTGAAGACTCTTCTGTGTTAAAACTTTTAATGTGTAACTTTTCCTTCCTTTAGCTACCTCAGATCACAATTTTTGAGCAAATGCCAATTCCCACAGAGGTAGTGCAAGGTAGGATAGTACTCTCTTGAACGTCCTCTTTTCTGGAAATAGATATAAAGGCAAAGTACCTTACTTTGTAGAGTCTGGAACAGAGAACAACTCTTAAATTCTTGTACCTGTTCATTCAGGATTTGTCTAGAACACGCTGTATTACTCCTAGTTTGCGTTTTCATGTTTTCCCTCTCAGGATGTCTTTAAGAAAGCGGGGATAATGTACACCAACAATCTGCTTTTAATAACTCCATATATGAAGCAACAGGGAGAGGATATTCAGGGGAAATTTTACAAAAATATCGAAAGACTATTTTTTATTTTTTTCCAGCCCTGTGTTTCTTCATAACTTCTTGCATTGTTCAGAGTCTCTATAGCTTGTGCTTTCTGTTGCTGGAGCTCATCTTCAAACACTTTAAAAAAACAGAAAGGGAAGAATGTGAAGAAAAGCATATGGCTCTGAAGACCAAAGATTCTCTCACTTCAGTAGATGTGTTCAAATCATCACACTGGTGATGTTTCTCAGTGCCATAGGTTACAGTAGAATTCAGTTTGAAGATTTAAAGAGAAGTTAACTAGGCAAGAGATTGCTGTAGAGTAAAAAAAAGATCTTAACACGTCACTGACCAGAGCTCTTGGTATTCTCTGTCACAAGACAATTAATAGTGTCAGCGGTATGTTTTAAACTGTGGTTACCTTTTGGCTTAATGTTTAAAGCTGACAAAGAGGAATGAGCACTGTGTGCAAAGCAGTTTAGCTGGGGTCAAAGCAAAAGTGAATTGACTATGGGAGGTGCAAACTTCTGGCTCTGGGCTCCTCCTGTGTTTGGAGCTCAGCAGGAGCTGGGACCTCCTTCCTTCTCCCACAGCAAGATTTCACCACTGCCTGAAGCACCTACTGAACAGAAAAAATTGACAGGGAAGCAGTGAGGATGCCAGCCTTACCTGTTTCAAGGACCAAATGCCTCACTGCAGCTCTGGTAAAAGCACAGGATTAGAAGCTGAAAACTCCAGGGACCCAGTTTTCCCTGTTCAAGAACTACAAGCAAAAAAACCAAAATAAGTCACTCATCTTTTCCTTCCCTACCAAACACTTTGATGTTACTGGAAGAATCAAAATTTCATATTCTATTCCTGACTGTCTCTAGTTTCCTATCTAACCTTGAGTCAACCATAAATCAAAAATTTAGCTCATATTAGTCATTTGTATGACAATATTTCTGAGATGTATAAGGATGAATTTATTAATGCTGGTGAATTCTTGGAGATTCTTGGATACAATTAATTTATTTAAATCCCTGAGTACATTTTTGTTCTAGAAGTTGTCAGTTGTTTTTAGGAGCACATAGCTCTGCTCTGCTTTTGGGATGAATCAGAAGCTGAATTTTCAAATGTTCTTTAAGTTCATTGTTTGCACAAGAAACAGTCCTCTGCATTGCTGCACAATTAAGTGTGTCATGAAAATGACTATGTATATACTAAATTATGAGATCTATCACAAAATGCAGCCTGCTTAAAGAGTTTTAAAAACCTATAAATAATTCCCAAGTGGTTGAAACAATTGTCTTGCAACTTCATTCTTTCTCACCTGGCACAGCTGATCAAAATGTAGTCAGCACCGAATGGCTTGAAATGGTTGAGTGGCTCACAAACATGGGCATGTGACTGATAGAGAGAAGAGGAAACCTGAGGTTGTGATGGTTTCATTTCTTTGAAGTTTAAGCTCAGGTTTCACTATGCGGTGTTTCCGCTGTTCAGGCAAAAAATGGTCAGTGACATTGCAGAGCAGAGAATACAGCCCTAAAGCATGCATAACACAGCCTATAAAGTGAATGATAATGATGGTAAGTGGGGTAAAAATACATGTTTTCTTCAGGGTAATCTCCTGGAGTTGAAACTGAGTAGTCAAACGGTAACAAATTATCATCATTCATGTCTTAATCCCAGACTACTGACATGCTTAAGTTTCCTAATGTCTCAAGTACATTTACTTGCGTAGTTGCATAGAATGACTTAAACCTTGCAGCTAGCTTAGTCTGCATTCTGGGAATGGCTTAATGCTGACAGACCTGGAGAGCAAGCACACTTTTGATCCTCCAAATTCTGCCTGTAAACCAGGTGCTCAGCTGCAAGGAAAATGAGCTGCGCTTAGACACTTGTAATTCTCTGTGTTGGGGTCCCAACTCCTGGGACCCAGTTGTCCAATTTTGGAATAAAACCAATAAAACACAACACTTAACTCTTGCAGGAGATTTCATCTTGGGTTTTTGAAAAGCCTTTGTCAGTTGCCTACCTGAGGGTTTGTGCCCTAGGCTAACAAATGTCAAAAGCAATCTATTAAGAAAACTTCTGTAAACAAATCAGTTAAGTTGGTGGTGAATAGGTGGGTGAAAACAGAATTGATCAGAATCATGATAAGGAGATCTTCAAAGCTTCTAGTGGTGTTTCCAGTGAACACGTTGTAGTGTAGGTGAGATAGGAGACATCAGGAGGAATCGCTCAAATGTTTTTTACATGTTTGAGCTCCAAAGACTCATGTTACTACATACACTACTTATGAGGTCAGGAGAAAGGGTGATTTAACATACACGGCAGGACTGTTTTCTTCTGTGATTTGATCTCCTTGCTCTCCTGTACCCTCAAGTTTCTTCCTCATAACCCTGCAGATGTGCTGCTGGGAACAGGAAACATCTCTAAAGGGTTGCAGCTGAGCCTGTCATTAGGAATACAGCTAAAAGCATCATTTTTTTATTTCAGCAGTCACTGCTGGGGAGAAAAATCATGGCCAAGGAGAAAAGTTGAATTTTTTCTTTGTTGAGAAGAGACCTTTTCTTTTCCTTGTGGGAAAACGAGACATGCACACCAAAGATGAGTAGGATTTGAAAATGCCAACTGTTGTTCTCAATTATATATTTTTCTCTTTTCTTCCCTCAAAGGAATTGATAATGCCATCCTTAATAAAATTTAGAGGAAAAACATTTGTGTGCCTGAAAGGGAAGGTGTACAGTGGATCCTTGAGTATTCTTGTAAAGGTAATAAGGAATCTTGTTTAGATATACACACTTACATTTCGGATGTTGAGATGTTTTTGTTTGCTGTGTTTTTAGCTGTGCATTTGTTTCCTGATGGTGTGATTTACAGTGGGATTTAATTAGTGTTTGTCTCTAAGTCCTACAATTTAATCAGTTAATCTTATAATAATGAATATCTTGGCTCTTGATGGCTTCAGAGTGCATTGGATACATTCAGAAGATACCGTCACATTGGCTCCCCTTGAGTTTTACATCGATATTTTGCTGGCTGCACTAGGATTTTGGTGATATTTCCAAAGTATCACGTCCCCTCCTTTCTTCCCCTCAGACTGCCAGTGATGTAGTTATTCCCCAGAGGATTTGCCCAGTATTGTCTTCTCTTTCCTTTCTTGGTCAGCAGTGAAGTAGCAAAGACCTTTAACATTCAGGGCGCTGTGACCTCAGATAGCATCCCACCACTGTCCTCACAGGAGCTCTCACCAAATTTGGGCTGATTTCTCCCATTACTTCCCTTTCATTCATGTGGTGAGGACTTTCTTTGCAACTCCCCTTCAGAAAGTGTGAGGTGCACTCTCACTTCTGAAAAAAGTCAGCACACATCAGGGAACGTTTAGTTAGCTGAGAAATATCTCAAATAAGCCATCAAATTGGAGGTCTGACCATAGCACACAATATCAGTGATATTTTTTTGGAATAAGTAAAATAAGCATTAGCATTTGATAAAGATATAGAGTTAACATAAATACTAGGAAATAGGTATATTGTTTCAAGTATAAGATAAAGATGGGACAAGTTCTCAATAGTTTTAATTTCTTGTCTATTTGCTGTAATTGGGCATTCTAGAAAAAAAAGTTTTAGATTACTTATGACTATATCAAGTAGAGGAAAGAGGCCCATGAATAGATCAGACGGGGAAAGCATCTACAGGGGCTGAAGAGTAATAATGAGTCACCACATCCACCAGCCTTTACAAGAACTAGAAACCAGATATGACTTCTCACTGAGTATCTCTTTGTAGTGGCATGTTTTCTGTGAACAATACTGTTCTAGAAAAAGGGTTTTTTTTCAGCTCTGTTGTCACTTCCTTAATAATCTTTTTACTCTAGTCCCATCATTCGACTATTTTAACAACACAGCATGCTGTGAACACATACTGGTTTCCCACCTGTTGCATACGTGCTGTTGAAGGACAAATATAAGCAGTGACATGGTCCTGATGGGATAAAGCACAAAGGCCACACATAGACCTGATAACTGGCACGTTCCAAGGCAGCTGCAGCAGTTATCACCAAAGATACCTTAATATTGACTCTAAACATAATACAGCCATAGGATGCCCAAGAGAAAAAAAATTCCCAAGCTAATCTTTTTAAGAGTCCATATTTGTGTAGTCTTGTAATAGTTAATGGATTTATCTTTTTATTGCCACTAACTCATGGCAAGTTCTTCTCATTTTGGTGGACACTGGGTATAAGAATTTAATTTTTGTATCTCTGTCTTCCTCCTGTCACATCCAAGGAGCACTGTTACAATTTATTTTGGCAGACATGCACACATATTCTACATTTTTCTGCTACTTCAAAATTCAGCAGCCTTCTTTATTAGATTGCCCTTGGGCATGTTTACAGGTTTTTCTCTTGGCTTTAGTCTTTGACAAAACACACACAACTATTTTTGATACACATTTTGTGTGATCATAGAACTAACAGAAAAGTATTTTAAAGACTATGCGGTTCTTGTTTGAAACTTACCTAATTATCTGAAATTATCTGAATCTGATACCTTTCTCAGTTTAGATGAAAGGATGACAAAAATATTAGTGGTACAAGTATTCATTCTTCTCTGTTTTCAGTTTAGGTCGTTGTTCAGTTTTCTGTTCTCAGCCAACTTCCCCTTAAATTTTGGATTGCATGAGCTGAGTAAAACTGACCTGCTCAGCATTTAGCAAAACTTCTGAACACTATATGAACTTTAGAAGTTGCTGCATATTAGGACCTGGCCATTCAAACATGATCTCTAAGACAGGAGGCAAAATAAAGCTTTGCCTTTTTTTTTTTTTTTTTTTTTTCCCCTGATCCTGTAAAATTGCTCACATGTTGAAGCAATATTATTACTGATGTTTAGCTTCTTGCTCCTGATCTTGTGGATCCATGCGGGACTGTGCATATGTGTGACTTCCCCCTCTTCAGATTTGGTTGAAAGAATTGGAGTAATGGCTTCATAATATTTTCCCCATGTTTTGATTCAATAGTTAGTGGAATGATTCCTCGCACTATGACAAACCTTTACCACACGTGTATGACAATTTCTGTTTTGCAATGGCATAACATGATTGCATCACCAAGTTTCAGCAGATGATATGAGGTGTCACTACGTCAGCCATGCTCTTAGGTAACGTGCAATTTCTGTTGATCAGAATGATAGGCATGGAATGTAAATAAATTTCATCACTAAGTTTTTTTTTTTTTTTTTTTTCTCCCCCTTATTGCTCTGCACCTCATGTAGTGATACCACACTCACCGGAGGTTAAACATCAGAGGCGAGAGGTGTGACGTGTGTGAGATCTCCAGGAAGGTGTCTGGTGGAGTGTGAGACCCAGGGTGCATCAGAAAAAACTAAGCTGGTGTTAAATGGGCTTCTGAGTAGCATTTGCTTTTCCATGCTGCAGCAAACTCATGAAGAAACACATGTGGGACCTTGTTTCAGCTGCAGACATGCCAGGTAAGCCAGTCATTTTACCTGATCCTGCCTCAGTTTCCTTGCCCGAAACGCACAGCTGTGGTACTTGGCTCCCTTGTCAGGCACCTAGAGATGCAGCCAAGAAAAAGCTTTAGGAGATGGAGCCAAGAAAACTCCTTACGTGGCAGTGCTGCTGTTGATTTTTTATTTCCCTTTGCCTGTGGTCATTCACGTAGTTTCCTTTCTAGCTCCACCCTCACCCAGGGCTCTCCAGGGGAGGGCTGCCAGCCCCCCTGCCCTCTGCCACCACCCTCTCCTCTGCCCCCGGGCCTTTGGGTCAAAACCCCGGGGGGGTTTGGATTTGGGAGGGGGTGCCCTGGGGGAAAGAGTGTGGGGGGCGGGGAAGGGGAAAGAAATGTCGGGGGGGGGGGGGGAGCGGGCTGGGGATGCTCGGAGGGAAGTGGTCCAGGAGAGGGGGATGCTCCAAAGTGTGGGGTGCCCCGGGGAGATGGTCCGGAGGAGGATGCTGGCGCGGGGGGGGTGGGTTGGGGTAAAGCCGGGAGGTTTCGGGGGGGCGGGGCGGGGGGCGGGGCGACGGCGGCACGTGGCCGCCCCGCGCCCGCGGTCGCTGAGCGAGTGCGGCGGAGAATGCGCGGCTGCGGGGCCACCGGCGGACAGGTAACCCCGCGGAGCCCCACGCTCCACGTCCCCGCGGGGGGATCCCCTCCTCTTCCTCCTCCTCCTCCTCCTCCTCCTCCTCGCTGGCGGGGGGCTGCGGCTGTGCTGTTTCCCGGTGCTGCCTGCCGCGGTGCTTAGCGCGTCCTGTCGTGCCCCCGCGTTAGTTACGGAGCGAATTCGCTTTAAAAGAAAAACTCAGCTGGTGGTAGAAGTTGAGGGAGGGGGAAGGTTATGGGATTACTTTCTATTACTATTTTTTACTTTTATTTTCTTCTTCCTCGAGACTTGGCGGATTTTGCCTGTGCTGTGACAGCCAAATTGCTGCCGTTCGTACTTTCCCCGGTATCCAGAAGTAACTTTGTAGTGGGAGGGTCGAGGTTACTCCACGTTTTGCTTCGCTGTGTATTGCTTTAGTGATGCTGCACGAGATACTTGGACCTTGTGTGAATATCTGTCTTTTTTTTTTTTTTTTTTTAATCTGTATGGGATAATTAAGCTGGAGAAATCCTCTCCTTTCCCAGCCAACTTTCACTGAACTGATTCATCCCTATGTGTAATTGTTTACTGAAATTGAGTTTATCAGTTATTGACTTTAGTTAAAGAAATAAGCCACTTAATAATAAAACAATCCCTAGAACAAAAGCAAACAACAAAGCAAAATGTTCACACAAGTACATCAATGTAGCAAAGTTGCTTTAAGTGTACCTTTGAGGGAAGTTTAAGCTGTAAGGTATAGTTCTTTAAAATCTGTTCACGTGCTTGTAATGAGAAACAGCATAGCTTTTCAGTGATGCTAGAATAGCACAAATATGATAACTGGCAAGAAACCAGTTGGTACCCTTAGTTTTATATCAGTCAGTTGCTCAAAGCACTCTGGAAGCTGAATTACTACATCGCATTAAAAAAATGTAAATTCTTGCCTGGTTATTTTTATATCAATTTCCCACGATTAAGCTGTAGAACTTGTGTATTTTGTAGTGATTTTTATTCATTCTCAGAAGATGATGCTGTTGAGCGGGTAGATTAGGCTGTCAGGATGAATGAGTGTATTTGAGTAATAATCTTATTTGTTTGATTTCTTGCTACTGTTTAATACCATCATAAAATTGCTTATTGTAAAGCAAATACTTTCACATGATGTAGTCTGAAGATGGATTCAGTATGTGTAGTTTCATTTTGCAATGGCTGTGGGAAGAATGGTTTGAGGAAAGTGCAGGGGAAATTTTCATTTTATTAAACAGTTTTGGCACGTCTCATTTTTTTCTCACAGGAATTGTAAATTTTGTGCTGTTAAGAAACATTTTACTTTGATTATATTAATCTACAGAAGAGTTTGTAGATGTGTGTATTTAAGGTGTCAGTTAAGAACAAAGGGCATGAGGAGGGTTGTTGGCAGTCAGTGGAAGGTGGGTCTCTAAACAGCACATGTGTTCCTGTAATCATCCCCTCTTTGGCCAGTGCATATAACTGTAACAGAGTGCTAGAAGTGTTGCTTATCATGTCATTCCAGGTAATTACTACCATAACTGCCTCAACTTCACTGCAAGTTTGTTTTGTTTTGTTTTTTCCCCAGTGGCTTTTGCATTTAGTAATGTAAGCAGCTGCTTTACAACTAACTGCACTGATGAAATTCCTCTTACCTGAACAGATAATTATTCAAAATGTACCTGCTCAGCCAAGAAATGCTTCTGAGGAGAATAGTGGTTACGTTTTGAATGTTGAAGTTCACTGGGTTTTGGGGCTGCCTGTGATGAAGTTGGGGTCAGGCTGTGTATGTGGTTGGGGTGGGCTTGAGTCAGGGGATAAATTTTACTCCAGAAGCTTCTCGGTTCCTCCCACTGAGATTTCTGGACAATATTATCTGCTTCTGCTGCTTTAGTCTACATTGTGTTGATTTGCCCATCTAATCTCTAAAATTAATTTCTTACTGATAGCTGAAGGTTGCCATGAGGCCTCCACCAGCAGCCGTGAAAGTCATGCAGGATACGTGTAACAGCTTGGGCTCTTTGTTACAAGAATCTCAGGTTTTATCCATTTTGGTCACTCATTCCTGTGCCTTGAACTAATTCTAGCATGGGGCTTTGAATTTCAGTCTCCCACAGCACAGAGAGACAGGGTCTCATCATCTCCATTCTCGTTGGGGACCCTCAGCCCGGCAGCAGCCCGCTGGTGTGGGAGAGAAGGATGCTTTACCTTAGCAGAGGAGAGCAAAGCATGCTAAATATGCTCTGCGTTTCCTCTGCACTGCTTCCATCCTTGAGTGGAAAATTGTTCCTGATTTCCTCAGGTTTGGAGGATTTACGTTGGCACCCTTCCCACATTCCCATTTTACTTCCAGTTCTATTTATTAGATAACACACTTGCATAGAAGCTTGTTTATAAGCAAAAGGAATGTTTTTCCTCAATCTATTCCTACTAAAGTTTAGCAGTTAAGTGTTCCCTGGGTCTGGGGGGCTGTTTCTCAAGACTAAATTGGTCTTTGCAGGATCCTGAGGCTGTCAGAAGCATGAGCGCCTCGAACTCTCATTTCAAACTGAGTATCAGCATAACAGCTCTACCTGAGTGCACCTGTATTTTTGATGCTGTTGATGCTATAAAATCAAGTTACGGAAGCAGAGGGGATAATTATATTTACGTAATTTGTGTATCTCAATAGCAGGGGTTTCTTTCTGTATTCCACATAAGGATTAACTCCCCATTGCCTTCTGTGTGAGGGTCCTGATGAAGACAGAGAACGAAGAGAAACTGGGCCAAGTCTCCCGTGTTTTATCAAATGATTGATCACCTTGTTATATGCTTGGCAATTTCTCGCTCGAAGAAACTAGTTTGGGTGTAACCTACAGGTCTACCAGCATTGCCACAGAGTGGGGTGATTGCTGTGTGGGCAGATGGTTTTGGTCCAATTTAGGGATTGGTAATAAGGAAGTCTTATTAATGGAGACTTTGTTTCTCAGATGTGCCCCATCTTCCCTGGATTTTGGGTATCATGTGAGTAGTAAGGCACTATGGATGTGCAGTCTGCCTGTCTACTCTGAGGATGCCACTTCCTAAAGCAAACTTGGCTTTCGGCACCTGCAGTGCTGGGGTAAATACCTGCACGCATGTACCTTTATTTGCACTAACTCATCATGTAGCTGCTCTCTATTGATATAAAGGAGGCTCTTACTAGAAACTTTTAAAAGTATTTTGGAATTACTAATTCTCTTATTTATCAAAAAATGCAGTCATTTCAAAAAGCTGCACAACCAATCAGGCAAATTTTAAGTCCTTCAACCTATCCTTGCAACTTAAAGTAATTGCTTAGTTACACCTAATGATAAAACTGTGGAAAATAAGAAGTTTATTAATTTTCCTTGAAACATTCCTAGAAAGGTTTTGGACTTTCATTGTTTTGCACTGCATTTTAAATTCAGACAAATCAATTACCTCAGGAAAAAAAAAAAGATATTTTGTGAGTCTGTTGTGTGTGTCAGTTAAGATGTTTGCACGATATAACACTAACCAGGCCCCTTGCTGATCTGTACTTTTCAATTAAGAGGGTTCATTAGGGAGAATAAAGCAGCAGTGGGCAAAATTTGAGTGATACAGAATAAAAAGAGAATGATTACTCATAAGTTTACATAACTCAAGATTTTAGAGAGTTGAGAATAAAGGAGCAAAATTCAATTATTCTTTTAAAAGATACTTTTCAATAAAAGGAGATACTCTTTCACATAAGCATAACTTATCTATGGAACTCATTACTGCAGTATCTTCCTATTGCTTAAGATATGAATGAATTTTAAAAGATGTTGGCAAATTAATAGAGAAAAAGTATGCTATGACTGTTAATCACAAAGATTCAGATACAATTTCTAGTTGAAACAGCCCCTAAGTTACAGATTCCTGGAAACCAGGGGATTATTTTGCAGGCAGAATCACTATATAATTTCCTGACCTTATATTCTTTCCCTGAGCATCTGCTTTTGATCAGAGTTAGAGGCATCTTATTGTGCTAAATCGATATTTAGAGTGATGCACTCCATGCTATATGTGATGAAAATTTGGATGGATTTTTTTCAGCTCACTACTGATTCGTTCAAAACAGTTCCAAGCAGATGAATGTTAGATGTATCTTCAATTTTCATACTCGGGGAGAAACCTGCAGTAAATAGAGTGCTCAGTGCTGTGTTTCCCTAAGTTTTGACTAACTGGCTATTTGTAACCGTATTCTAAGAGCGCAGATTGATCTGACATTTTGTAAGGCTACACTATTGGTACAACGCTTCATTGTTTTATCACTCATGAAATAATAGATTTTTGTGTGAAAATCTGGAGGATGTTATTATTTCGGTTTTGATTTCTACGTTCTGAAATGTTGATTC